TTTCTTTCATTTAAGACATGTTTCTTTGTCTCCTCATTTTGGCTGTTTCCCTGTGTTTGTTTCTAGGTAGTAGGTAGAGTTGCTATGTCTCCTAGGCTTGGTATAGTGGTCTGTTGCAGTAGGCATTCTCTAGGGTCCAGTGGCACAGCCTCCCTGATACCCCAGCTGTGCCCTCGAGGTGAACCCCTTGTGTGGGTTGCAAACCCTTCTGCTGTAACTGAGTCTTGTTTGCTGTTGGCACATCAATGGGAGTGATTAATTCAGGCTGATCAGCTACAAGGACTGGTTATGCCCAGTGACCACTGAACTTTGACTACCTTGGAGATTCAGCTGTGCAGGGGCCCACCACACAGAGCAAGACTTACTTCAGCAGGGTTCTGTTACTGAGTTCACTCATTGTGTCACTTTGGAGGTGATTGGGTGGTAGTGTTTTGATGTGGTCTGAAGCTGTCCACTGGGTGTGCTGGCTCTGGGGCAAGGTCAGTCCCTGGCTGTGCTCTACCTGAGGTCAGCTGGCATAAGCTACAAAGTGATCTGCTGAAGGCTGCTTCTTGTGCTGGGCTTGGAGTTGCCCAAGAAGATCCAAGTTGTGAACTAAGGGTAGCTGCTTTCAGTGCCAGGCCTGGGGTCTTAACGATAAATATGGGGCTCCCTGAGACCAGATGTTCCTTGTTTGAGAGATTTTAGGAAAATCTGAAGCAAGATACAAGACAGGCCAATACTATGGTAAAGCCTTTGGAAACAGCTTCAGTGGGACCAAAAGTTGGGTGGGGCAGGGCCTCAGGGAATGACCAGGGTAGGGAAAACAGTGTGAACCAGGTTGCTGGAGTCCTGGATATGGCGGCTGACTGCTGCCCCAGGGAAGGGCTTACCAAAGGGTCAATGGCCTCTGACAGCAAGTCTCTCCAGGAGAAAGCTGCCCCTCCAGCTCTCGCCCCAATGCCAAACAACTCAGTTCTTCCTGTATGTGTCTGGTGCCTTTCAAGTTGCTTCCTCCATGCTGGAGCCTGAAGGGTATGAGTCCAAGTAAGTTCGTGTGCAATCCCTTTAAAAGGAACTTCCTGGGGCTCCAGCAGCCTCAGCCTCCTCAGCCTCAGTTCCCGCTGGTTTTTACAGTCAGAAGTTATGGGGACTTCTCTTCCTGGCACTGGAATCCTCAGCTGGGAGCCTGTTGTGAGACAGGGACCCCTCACTCTTCAGAGAAGACCTTCACAGCTGAGGTATCCCTCTTGATTTTTATCTGCCACATATGGGTATGGGACTAATCAATCCACACCTCTGCCCTCCTATCCGTCTCCATGTGGCTTCTTTAATTTCGTAGTTGTAGGACTTCCATTCAGCTGTCAGGTGGTTCTGAATGATGACTGTTCTGTAGTTTAGTTATAATTTTGATGTGGTTGTGGGAGGAGGTGAGTACCATGTTTACTTATGCCGCCCTCTTGACTGGAAGTCCAAGCTATTTCTTTTCTATTTGTGCCATCTGTTCATTGTCCCTCCACCCCTTTTTTTGCTATCTTTGGAATTAGTTGAATTTGTTTATGATTCCAATTTATTTCTTTGTTGGCTCATTAGCTTTAGGATTTATAGTATGCATCTTTGACATATTATAGCCTACCTTCAAATAATATTTCACCACTTCATGTATAAAAACCTTAAAGTAGTACATTTCTATTTCTCCCTTCTCAATCTTTGTGCTATTATTGTCATACATTTTATTTTTATACGCATTATAAACCCTATTCTGTATAATTTTTGTTTAAATGTTTATATTAGTTTGCTAGCACTGCCATAACAAAATATTTCAAACGAGGAAGCTTAAACAACATAAATGTATTATGTCATAGTTCTAGAGGTTAAAAGTCAGCAATTATGCTGATTGTAGGGTTGGTCCTTTGTTTGCTGGCAATCTTTGGTGTTCTTTATCTTGTAGATGGCACCATCCCACTGCCTTCATCTTTACAACACAGTCTTCCTATGTGTGTATTTCTATGTCAACATTTCTTCTTTATATAAGGACACAGAGTCATATTGAATTAGGGCCCACCCTAATGATCTAATTTTAACTTGAGTACCTCTGAAAAGACCCTATCTTCTAAATAAAGTTGCATACTAGGGGTTACAACTCTTACACATCTTATTTGGGGGGATAAAATTTAGTCCATAACAATGGCCAATTATCTTTTAAAGATCTTATAGAATTAAAAAGTTATATATTTTTACACCTATAAAGTTATCCCTTCCTGTACTCTTCATTATTTTGTGTAGATCTGTATCTCCACCTGGCTAAAGTGAAGCACTTCTTTAATATTTCTTATAATGAAAGTTTGCTGATCTTGAATTATTTCAGTTTTTGCATGTCTAAAAAAAACCCTTTAATTTGTCTTCATTTTGGAAAGATATTTTCTGTGTTTTGGATTCTAGATGACACATTTTTATGTTTTAGTCCTTTAATATGTCTTTTTCATTTTTTAAATCTCTGATGCTTTTTAAGACTTTTTTTTTATCCTCACCTGAGGACATTTTTGCATTTATCTTCAGATAGAGTGGGAGGGAGAGAGGTAGGAAGAGAGAGAAACATCGACATGAGAGAGACACATCAAGTGGTCGCCACCCACCCGACCCCAACTGGGGCTGGGGACAAACCGTAACTGAGGTACGCACCCTTAGCAGGAACTGAACCCAGGACTCTCTGGTCCGCAGGCTGACACTCTAACCGCTGAGCCAAATCGACGAGGGCCTTTTTAAGACTTTCATTATCACTGTTTTGTTTTGTTTGTTTTTTTGTGAGTGGGGGGAGTTGGATGTTCCTTGGTGTAGTTTTTCTTCCTTTCTTTTTTGCACCTGGGGTTTGTTGAGCTTCTTGGATTTATAAATTTATAGCTTTTATCAAACCTGAAAATTTATTTCTTTAACCCTCACCCCCTATTGTGGGGGCTCCAATTATGCTTATATTTGGCCACTTGAAATTGTCTCATTGCTCACTGGTGCTCTTCCATTTTAAAAAATTATGTTTTTCATGTTTAGTTTTGGGTAGTTCTATTTCCATGTCTTCAATTTAATTTCTCTTCAGCAATATTTAATGTACATTAATTCCATCTAGTTCATGTTTCTCATTATACATTATAGTAATCCATCTCTAGAAGTTAGATTTTTATATTTTAAAATACCTTCCATGTATCTTAACTTCTTGTACATAGAAAATATAGTCGTAATGTCCCTATTTTAATGTCCTTGTTTTCTAATTTTAACAATTGTGTCAGTTCAGGGTTGGTCTCTATTGGTTGACTTATCTCTTCACTGTTGGTCCTACTTTCTTGCTTCTTTACATGACTGGTTCTTCACTGGATGCCAGACATGGTGAATTTTACTTTGTTGGGTGGAACTGGAAGTGGAAGGGAAGTCTCTTCCTTTAATTATAGGGTTCTGAAACTGTGAAAGTCTAACTCTACTACTAAACTTATGTATAGCAGTTGTTTTGTCTTCCCTAATGACTTTACAGCTGAAAGTTTATAGCCCCATCTATACACAAATTAAATATTTTTAAAATAATATTTAAGCCTGAGGGTCAGATCAAATGATTTCATGTCTCAGCAGTCCCTGAAGGATATCTCTAATATATGTCTTGAGGAAGAAAGGTGAGTCACCTGCCTTTTAAAACTATAGCTCCCGATGGCACAGGAATTCTCTGCAGTTAAAAGCTAAAAACAGCTATTTTAACATAAAGTAAACATATGTCATCTTTAGGAAGTAGAGAGAACAGTAATGGTTTTAGCATTTCCTTATTCCTCAGTTACTCATATAGATTTAATCTACAGTCATGCTCATCAAAGTTAAAGGTTCATATAAAAGTTGAATCTTTGAGTACAAACATTTAAACAATAGAAAACTTTTCTTTAGCACCCACTATACAACAGGTACTTTGCTAGGTGCTTTAAGTATTTTTCCTCAAGTAAACATTACAACAAACTTGTAAACTATTAGCTATTACTAACGCCATTATACAGAAGAGAAAACTGAGACTCAAAGATTCAAACCTACGTTGACAGTAAGATTAGATTCTGTTATTCAAAAAGTACTTAAGCAGCGGTTCTCAACCTGTGGTGGTAACCCCTTTGGGGGGCGAACGACCCTTTTACAGGGGTTGCCAAAGATATAACAGTAGCAAAATTACAGTTATGAAGTAGCAACAAAAATAATTTTATGGTTGGGGGCCACCACAATTTGAGGAACTGTATTAAAAGGTCGTGGCATTAGGAAGGTTGAGAACCACTGACTTAATGAGTAGTAGTTCATGTACCAGGCGTGCTTCTAGGTTCTGAGAACACAGCAATGAGGAAACAACAACAACAACAAACCCACAAAAACAGCAAAAGCCAAAAACAAAACCTAACCCAAAGAATTTGTATTCTAACATATAGTCTCTATAAAAATAAAAATTTAATTTGTAATTTTTTTTGTGACTGGTGTTATATCAAAAGTAAAATAGAAAACATTATAAATGTGTAACTAAAAAGTTCTAATTTTAAAAGTAGAGGATACATCCTATGTAAAGGTAAACAGTTTTATTTACTACAAAAATAATGGGATTAAAGAAAATTTCAGCTGACTCCAAAGGCCTTGCTATTTCCACTATTCCGTAATGGCTCCATATCATAGCACATTTCAGAAAGAGATGCACTAAAAAATAAAACAATCAAAAGCCCAAACACTACAGCTATCTGGAAATCTGTGCAATCTACCAAAGTTTCTTGATTGCAACAATAAGTGATAAACAAGAAACAAAAATAGATAAAATAACAACAAATATGATACTGGTCAAATTAATTAAATGCTAAAAAATGTTCACTGAATACATATTTAGTTTTGAACAGAACTAATCTCTTATCAACTTATATACATTAAATATACTTGCTATTTCAAAAATGTAAAAACAGTGCTTTTCCTTTATAAATATGCATGTGAAATATTCAAGTCTCAAAACAAAACATTACTATGCGTACCTCTACAGCAGGTACAATGTCTATGCCAACAGTTAGAAATTCTTCAAACTTCATAAATGGGTTAAAGCAGCTGCCAACATCAAGTAATCTGATCTTTCCTGAGGTTTGCAGCAACCTAAAAACAGATTATTTTGTCTTATAACAAGCAAAATAAAATAAAGTATAAGAAAAATTTAAACATTTGAGAATTAAAAAGTTCATGTAGATTTTTGGCTAACTTTTTTGATAAAAAAAGTCTCCTTTAACAGATTTAAAAATTACTGTGGACCTTAAAGGGTTTTTTGTTTATGTGGACTATATCTATAAATAATATTGTATTTGAAATAAAAACCAAATAGTTTAAAAAACATGTATCAATTCACTTATAAAACAATAAATCTATTGTATATGTTCACATAAATTACATATTTGTAATGAAAAATCTAGATTAGAAAGACAGTAAATAGTGAGGCATTGTTTTATATTTGAGTTTCTTTAATGTCCAGCTTAAAAGAAGATTGATGAATTCTCGCACTTGCTTTTGCATTCAAGCTGTTCCAAAATCACATGCCATGTAGTCTCAAAGAAAACTCATGAGAGACAGAGTAAAAAAAGGCATCTGACATTTTAGTACATATTACTGTGAAAATATTCCCCTCCCCCACAGACACTGGAAGGTTCTCAGATCCCCAGACCACACTTTGAAAACAGTCTTTGTAGATGAAAGAATCCATTCACAAATCAATTCTTAGTAGTCAATACAACAATGGTTTTGTACTTAACTTTGTTTCAATGATTTAAAAGGACCAAAAAGAAAAGCACAGATAGAATAGTATTAAAATGTTCTGTTTTATTTTTATTTAAGAGCTCTCCTCATGTCCCAAAACAGTAAGAAACAATGAAGGTAAAAACAAAAAAACAAAACCAGAAATTACCAAATTTTAAAGTTAGCCAAATGAAACTAATATGGATCGACACAGCAGCAAGGATGAAGACAAACAGTGGATTTTGTTGGTCTGAAGCCTACAGTTCTAATATTCAGACAATATAGTAATAATAAAAATCAACTTCAGATATATGTCAGTTCACTAATGTTAAAATACTGTTCTTTAAAAAAAAAGACTGTGAGTGAATGTTAGAAAAATAAAGGAAAGACAATGTAGGAAAATAATTGTGTAAAAACAGAATCCTGCTTCCTTAAAGTCTAAAGAACAGAGAGAAGCTGTTCAGCTTCTCTCCCTTATATGTTATTATTACCTTAGGGTTCATTAGAGAGGTGTTAACCTACACGTTTGGCTCCTGGAAAAGGCACTAAATCAAAATAATATAAAATTTAATTTTTTCCCAAAAGATGCATGCAATATGTAGGAGTTACATTTTTAATCAAATGTTGATGTCCCAACATTTTATAGAAATGACCACAATCACCATTTGATTATAAATAAACTATATAGGACCTGTCTGATGTATTACACATCATTGTATAGTACCATAAAAACAATATATAGCAATTAAAATATTTTTAATAAAGTTTTACTTAAGAACTCCCCTGAAAGGGGCTATGACAGTATAAGAAAACAGCATTTCACAAAAGAGGGGCTTCATTTTTCTATATGTATAGTACAACCAAAATACTATGACCTCCAGATGAATGTTAGTTTTTGCAACGAATAGCTAGAAAATCTCCCAGTGAAAATAGCTGCTCCTAGGGATCAAGAGGTAATTTTTTTGCACTGCAGGACATTAGGAAGCAGATTATCTGTATGGGTAATACCTATAACAAAAAATCATCTGTAAAGTTGAATTAAATATAATGATACCTGAAACATAAGAGTACTTTAGTTCCAATGAATGAGGGCTGCAAACATCAGTGGCATAGGTCCCAAGTTGCTAAACAGAGCAAAAGATTCAGTACATAAGGGCCATAGAAATGTCTGGCATATAGCTGACATTCACTGCTGAATTAACACAAATTTGAATACCTAAATCATGACCAGTTAGGATAAATGAGAATCTACAACAATATGTAATACTATATACACTAATAGATTGTCATTCTAATTCTTACTTGGGGCTATAGTTAAAAAAAAAGAGTTCTGGCATTGGAGAAACTAGTATCAAACTGAGTCTGTCCTCTACTTGTAATATAGGGGCAATAACTGTACCTACACTTGAGTTGTTTCCAAGATTAAATGAGATTATGCATTTACAATGCTTGACCCAATATCTGATACATGGTAAGTGTTCAAACAGTGCTAAACATTATTGCAAGCTGTTATTGTCACTTTATAGATTTAATCTTTTTGTGCTTCATCCACTAATGATCTTCATAAGCATAGTAAAAGCAAAATTTGTCTCACACTAAATTCTACACTAGTAAACTGGTTAGCAAAAATTTTCGGATAAACTTTATTTTATTTTTTACTTGTCACCAGAGGATATTTTTCTATTTATCTTCAGATAGAGGGGGGCGGGAAGGGGGAGAAAGAGAGAGACAGAGACAGAGACATCGATGTGAGAGGGACACATCAACAGGTTGCTTCCTGCATGACCCCGACCATAACCGAGGTAGGTGCCCTTGACCAGAATCAAACTCATGACTCTTTGGTCCGCAGGCCAACGCTCTAACCACTGAGCCAAACCGGCCAGGGCTGGATAGTTTTTATTTTAAAAAGTACATCTTATAACTGAAATATTCTATGTAGATAGAATATTTTAAATCATTAGAGTGAATTCAACATGATTCAATCACCAATAACTTACTATCACAGACTAATCTAGTAACATTAATTCTTAGTAATATACTTCACTCATTTCAAATTCTTTGGTTCAGCTCCTAAATTTTCTATTTGCATCAAATATGTATTTACAGTTTTAAGACTAACCACAAAGTAATTACCACCAAGGCCAAGAAATAAATCACTGCCTGCATTCTGGAAGCAAAATCCTCCGTGATGACATCCACTCCCCTTTCTGTAATGGTAGCCACTACCTGATTTAAATGATAGCAATGCCCTTTTTAGTCTCATTACCTATGACTGAATACCTAAATAATAGTTTAGTTTTACACTCTACACATTTGCTTTTCTGACTTTTTTTCATTTAATACTAAATTTGAGTCAGATGTATTTCTATAGTTAATTTATTTTCATTGCTCTATAGTAGTACCTTTAATTAACACAACCCATTGGGATTTTGATTATAGTGGCACTGAGTCTAAAGACCATTTGAGGAGAATTACTATCTTTACAAGACTGAATTTTCCAGTCCACAGATATATGGCATAATTGTCCACCTGTTTAGGTGTTTTTTCTGTCTCCTAATAGCTTTATCATTTTCTCTTGAATGTTCTCATACTTTTTGTTGGCATTATATTTTTTGTCATTTTAATAATATTACTGTTTTTCCCCCATGAATAAATTTTTTTTTAAAATTTTTAAAATTTCATTTTTCACTGTTGGTTACAAAAATACAATTGGTTTTTGTATAATGATTTTATATCCAGCAACTTTACTAAGTTCCTATTAACTCAAATGCTTATCTGCCCTGGCCGGTTTGGCTCAGCGATTGGAGCAATGGCCTGCGGACTAGAGAGTCTCGGGTTTGGTTCCCCTAGGGGCATGTACCAAAAAAAAAAAAAAAAAAAAAAAAAGTCAAATGCTTATCTGTATTATTATTTTGGGTATTCTAATCTACATATATAATTATACAATCTGTGACAAGACAAATGTGATATCTAAACAGGTAAGCTCTCCTTTTCCTACTCCTCCCCACCCTCAGAGGAAGTGTGTGTATACCTTCCTCCCCGCTTGGTGCATTTATACACATGTGTTAATCATGTGCTGTTTTACTAATTGCTATTTTCTTTTTTTAAATGTATCATTATTGTTGAAAGTATTACAGATATCAACCCCTTTCAACCCCTCCTCCCTGTTCCCACCCCCCTCCTGCCTTCCCCACATTATTGTTGGTGTCCATTGGTTATGCATATAAGTTCTTTGGTTTATCTCTTACTGCACAGCCCCTCTTCCCTCTGATGTTCTTAAGTCTAACAACCAATTTGTACTTCTCAATCCTTTCATCTTTTTCACCTATCCCCTCAACCCTCCACCAATCTGGTAACTGTCAGAAAGTTCTCTGTTTCTATTCTGCTTGTTCATTTGGTTTGTAGATTCAATTGTTGATAGATATGCATTCACTGCCATTTTATTTATTTACTTACTTATTTATTTATTTATTTATATCCTCACCCAAGGACACTTTTCCATATTTTGTTCAGATAGAGTGGGAGGGAGAAAGAGAGAGAAACATTGACGTGAAAGGGACACATCGAGTGGTTGACACCCGCACGACCCAACCAGGGCCAGGGACAGACTGCAACCTAGGTACCTGCCCTTACCGGTAACTGAACCCTGGTCTCTCTGGACCGCAGGTGGATGCTCAAACCACTGAGCCAAACTGGCCGAGGCTTCATTGACATTTTATTGTTCATATTTTGGATCTTCTCTACAACATTTCATATAATACTGCTTTGGTGGTAATGAACTCCTTCAGCTTTTTCTTGTCTGGGTAGCACTTTATATGTCCACTGATTCTAAATGATTGCTTTGCAGGATAGAGTAATCTTGGTTGTAGTTCCTTGTTTTTCATCACTTTATTTCTTTCCACTCCCTTCTGGCCTGCAAAGTTTCTTTTAGAAAGCAGATGAAAGTCTTACTGGGAGCTCCCTTGTAGGTAACTAACTGCTTTTAAGACACTCTTTTTGTCTTTAACCTTTTGCATTTAATTATGTTGTGTCTTGGTATGGGCCTCTTTGGGTTTGTCATGTTTGGAACTCTGTGCTTCCTGAAGTTGTATGTCTGTTTCCTTCACCAAGTTAGGTCTGTCATTCTTTTTTCAAATAGGTTGCTACATCTTCTGACTAGACGGGTCACCTACAGTAGGTGTCCTGTGTACAAACTCCCTGATCATCTCAGTAGGGCACTTAAAGTGCACCCCCCATGTGGACTGAACACCCATCTGTTGTAATTGAGTCCTGATGGCTATTGGCACCTCAATAGAAGGGATTTACTCAGGTTGATCAGCTGCAAGGACTGGGTATGCCTACTGACTGCTGAACTCTGACCTCCTTGGAGGGTCAACTGTGCAAGGGCCCAGCACACACAGCAAGACTTACTTCAGCAGGGCTCTAGTACCAGAGTCCATCCCTTAAATATGTTGCTTGTACAGGTCATTAGGTGTTGGTTCCTTGACATGGTTTAAAGCTCTCCAATGGGTGCGCTGGCTCTTGGGCCTCCTGGGAGGCACAGTTCAAGGTCAGCCACTGCCTATGTTTTACCCAGGGCCACTAGGCATAAGCTACAAAGCAGTCTGCAGATCGCTGCTACTTGTGTTGGACTTGGAGGTGCCCAGGAGAGGCCAAACTGTGAACCAAGGCTGGCTGCTGCCAGTGCAAGGCTTAGGACCACTTGTCAGAAGTATGGGGCTTGCTGAGGCCAGATGTTACTTGTTTGAGAGATTTTAGGAATATCCAAAGTATGAGCCAACACAGGCCATTCCTAAGGTAAAGCCACTGGAAACAGCTTGGGTGGGGCAGGGCCTCAGGGAATCACCAGGGAGGTAAACACAGTGTGAGCCAAGTTGCTGGAGTCCCAGATACAGCACCCGTCTGCTGGCCCTATGGGGGAAGGGCTCACCAAAGGCACAACAGTCTGTCAGCACCTATGTCTAAGAGAAAGCTGCCCCTCCAGATCTTGCCCCAATGTCAAACAATGCAGATCTTCCCCATATGTCTCTGGCGCCTTTCCAGCCACCTTCCCTATGCTGGAGCCCAGGAGTGAGTCTGATTAAGTCCATGTGTGAGCCCTTTAAGAGGAGATGCCTGGGACTCCAGAAGCCTTAGCCTCCCTCAGCCTCAATTCCTGCTGGTTTCCACAGCCAGAAGCTATGGGGACTTCTCTTCTTGGAACTAGATCCCTGAGCTGGGGTGCCTGGTGTGGGATGAGGAACCCTTGCTTCTCAGGGAGGATCTTTGCAGCCCAGGTATCTCTTGATTTTTATCTGCCACATGTGGGTGTGTGACCAGTCCTTCCACACTTTACCCCCCTCGCCCCCCACCAGTCTTGATGTGACCTCTTTAATTTCAGAGTTGTAGGACTTCCATTCAGCTCAATTTCAGGCAGCTGAATGATGGTTGTTCTGCAGTTTAGTTGTAATTTTGATGTGATTGTGGGAGGCGGCAAGTACCATGTTTACCTACCTGCCAATTTGACCAGAAGTCCTAATTTGGTTTTGACATATGCTTTTCATAAGTGTTCGTTTTATATTTGCACATATAGTAGGTGGTAGATATGGTATATAAAGTCACCACAAACACAGAACCATGGCACCTACGGGAAATACAGGCTTAGGCTTCTAGTCACAATATTTGTTAGTGGATCAACACATGACTTACGATTTATGTGTTTTTTGTTTAAAGGCACTTTATTTAGTATATACATTATGATGCATTAACACTGAACTCACAGCCAACACTATTATAGCTCAGCCTAAAGGAAGCTTATTCAAAACTCGTATTTTCTCTGTAAACATTTATTAATACAGCTTTGTGCTTAATAGACTAGACAGAACTTCAACACTAAGCTTGGGGACCATTTTAAAAGTGAAATCATAAAACAAAATGCAAAAACTATGACACTAGATAGACTGAGAACAGGACATTTCCATATACAGTCATGCTCTGCATAATGACCTTTCAAAGTTTCGACTTCATATATGATAGTGGTCCCATAAGGTTATAATGGGGCTGAAAAATTCCTATTGACTAGTGACATTATAATGTAGCAATGTACTACTCATGTTGTTTGTGGTTATGCTGGTATAAAACTACTGTGCTGCTAGTGTTTTAAAAATATAGCACATACCAACTATGTACAGTACATAATACTTGATAATGACAATAAATAACTGGTGCTGGCTTATGTATTTACTATCCTACACTTCTTATTTTAGAGTGTACTCTTTCTACTTATAAAAAAGGTTTGCTATAGAACAGTATGCTGTATTATGTTGGTAGTAACCAACACCAGCGTTATACATCTCACATTGTTTTGTATAGTAACATCCTGTATAGGCTTGTAGCCTAGGAACAATGGGTTATAGCATATAGCATAGGTGTGTTGTAGGCTATACCATCAAGGTTTGTGTAAGTGCACTAAATGACATTCACACAATGAGTAAATAACCTAAGAATGCATTTGTCAGAACATAATCCTGATATTAATTGGTGCATAAGTGCACGAGAGCTGAAATAACACAGACTACCTTATTTGACTTCTACTGGGAAGGTGTGTCAGACAACTCAAAATTTTCATGTCCACAAATGACTTACAAATGCCATTATATAACCTCAGAATGGGGAAAAAGAGAGAAAGAACCCTTTATTAGTGGACTAGAATTAGAGGTTTCATACAAAAGGTTTCATATCCTAGTAACAATGAGCAGAATTTGGTCCCTCATGAAAAAGAACCTGTATTCTTAGAAAAATGGCACATTCCAGGGTTGAAACAGAAAGTACAAGGTGAGCCTGGATAATCTTATTGTACAAGAAAGTAAGGTAATGCTCAAAAACTAATGGGAACATATAAAAAAATCAGGAGTTTCCACTGAAATAATTTGGGATATTTTCCATATCATAAAGAATAATGATAGGAATGAATTATAACACATTAAATTAAAAAAACTGTAAGTCCATACATACTTATAAAGAGCAAAGAAAAGGGGAAAGTTGTTTACAGAGGACTATTTTAGCAAGGCAGAAAAAAATAAATCACCATTTTCCAACAAGTAGAATAAAAATAAAACACTCCCTCCCCCCCCCATTAAAAAACAAAACAAAACTATTCTGGCATGACCATTAATGGATGCCGAGGCCACAGCTTAAAACTGTCAACAAACAGGAAACTCATTCAGTCTTCATGTATAACCCCAGAGATTACCTTTATGGAGATATTTAGTGGATATCACCTTAGCAAAAGATCAAATTTAATATCACTAATAATGAGATTAACTGCCCTTTGCATTCTTAGTGATATACTGAGAACATGGTATCATCTATTTATTATGCCTATCAAAAATGTTTAACATGAATCTACTCACAGATTAGAGTCTGTAGCCTAAGAGATATTCAACTAAATACAGTAAGTAATCTTTGAACGGATCCTGGAAAAAACAATCAACCCACAGTTATAAAGAACATGATTGTGACAATCTGGAAAATCTGACTAAGAACTGTGTATTATATAACTCCATCAATTTCCTGAATATGATGAAAATTGTATTGTGGTTATGTAGGCAAATGCCCTTGATCTTTGGTGATACATGCTAAAGTATTTAGGGTTTAAGTAACTCAAATGGTTCAGAAAACAAACAAATTTAAGTATACACATACACACATGCACAAACTGATATAAAGCAAAGTAGCAAAATATTAACTACTAATCAATCTTAGGTAATGAATATAAAGGTATTGGTTGTACTATTAAAATTTCCCATAGACTTTTGAAATTTATAAAACTATATTGGGAAAAAGAAAACAAATCTCCCCAAAACTACTGTAAATTTGTTGTCTGTCTGGTTTGCTTTATGTGTATTAACACTAGACTATTAGGCACATACAAATTGTTATATTTTCTTGTTAAATCACACTTTTTATCATTATGAAAATTCTCCTTTACTTCTAGAAATGACATTTATTCTAAAATCTTATGTTCTAGATATGTCTCTTATAGAAGCACAAAGTGGATTTTTAAATGTAGTCTGACTATCTTTTAATTATTTAGATAATTTACTTTTAATGTGTTTTAGTAACATATTTTGATTTATTTCTAGTATGTTACTTTGCACTATCTACTCTACCTGTTCTATGTGTCTTTTCTCCATCCTCTATGTATTCTTTCTTTAAAAACATTTTTTTCTTTATTGATTTTTAGAGAGAGAGGAAAAGAGACAGAAGCATCCATGAGAGAGAACATTGATTTGCTGCCTCCTACATGCCCCCCACTGTGGATTAGGCCCACAACCTGGGCATGTGCCCTGAGTGGGAATCACATGAGACCTCTTGGTGAATGGTTCAACATTCAACCACTGAGCCACACTAGCCAGGCTCCGTGCATTCTTTAAAATCACCTTGGGAGCTTGAAAATCACTCAGATAGTTTGATTTAATTGATATGGGATAGAGTCCAGGCATTAGGATTCTCAAAAGTTCCCTAAATAAATGTAGTATAACCAAAGTTGAGAGTTGGTTTTAGTTTTTTCCTTTTAAATTTTAATACTTCATTTTTTTCATTTATTGATTTGAAAATTTAGTATTCTTTTAGAAAAATGTATACTTAACCACCGAATAACTTAGCCTTCTCCCAAACCAAACAAATGCTTTAGAATAGTTAAAATTCTGTTAACCACACAACATGTTAGTCATTTTTTATACTCTGTTTTATGAATGTCTGTCTAGACTTATCACATATTTACCTTTTTTCTGTTTTGTTTTGCATTTCTTCTTTCACCTCAGATTTTCCATATGGGATCTCTTCCTTTTGCCTGAAACATAGTTTTAAAATTTCTTTCAGTAACGGTTTGCTCTCCCATTCTTTCTCTCCTTCTGAATCTCCAAAAGAAGAACTCATTGTATCTTCCATGTCTTCAATCATTTTACTTTAATTTTTTTGTATTTTCTTATCTGCATGTGGCATTCTAGATAATTTCATTTAGTCTGTCTCATCCAGTTCAATAATTTCCTCTTTATATCATGCTGTTATTTAATTTTATTTTTTCTTTCTAGAAGTTCCATTTTTAAAATGTTGACATTCCTTTAAGTTTCTAGTCCCTGCAGAAATTTTCATGCAATTCTCATTAAAGTATATATATATTTATATTTAATGTACTATGATTCATGATTTTTGTATTTGGGTCTTTATAAGTCTCAAGTCTTTATAGATCTGTCCTTGCTGTTTGCTGGCTCTATATCACAGCATCTTGTTTCCATTCATGCTTAATAATTACTTTGTATTATAACCTATTCATTTTTCTTGAAAAATAATTTATGAAGATTTTTTAAACAAGTATTCATTTATGCTTCTTTCAGGCAACCTGGGATCCACTAGTGTAGGGCCATTTTTAACTAAATAAATTGTAGTTTTAAGTTTTTGGGACCATACTAGTGATGTGAATTTGGGCTGTTTGTGCTTGGGATGTCCTATAGTTTCAACTTGTCAGGGTCTGTCAAAGTCTGTCATGCTCTGGGTGAGTGGAGTACATTTACTCTGGTTCACCCTTAAATTGAGACGATAACTCTCTGGAGCTTCATCTCTATCACTGAAGTATAAAAACCAAAATTCAAGTTTGCCCGTTTGGACAAATGCTCTAAAGGCAAAAGAAGCTTTTTGCTCTGCCTACCTTTCTGGGTTCCCGTAAGCACTTGCATTTTAGTGTTATCAGTTCTTTGGTATTTTTAAGATTTATACAACATTTAAAACATTGCTGTTTCTAAGTTTGAGAGATTAATTAGAATATACTCCTTATATCTACTTAACTTTTAAAGTAGAATATATAAACAGATAAAATTAATCTAAGTTGTTGGCATAAAAGTTGTTTGTGACTACAGAACCAATAGTTATAAACTAATACATAAACGTTAGAAATACTGTTACATTACTGTCCATTAATATGACCATAAACATAATGTATGTGAGTACATCATGTGTGCTAAGTGCAAAAATAGCCTCTAAATAACCTATTAAATGACCTTGAAGTTTCTTCATCTTAAAAGGCTAGAGAGCCAGACCAGTGTGGCTTAGTGGTTGAATGTCGACCCATGAACCCATAGGTCGCTGGTACGATCCCCAGTCAGGACACATGCCCAGGTTGTGGGCCCAATCCCCAGTAGGGGACTTGCAGGAGGCAGCCAGTCGATGTTGTCTCTCATTGATGCTTCTCTCTCGCTCCCTCTCCCTTCCCCTCTCTCTAAAATCACACACACACACACACAAAGGCTAGAGTACCAATTGAAGTGATCTTAGCTGAAAGACTTTATTTATATACTAATATAAATAACAAGGGAGCTGAACTACAGAACCAAATCTTCATTAAATTGTTAAAATAATACGAACTACATAGTAGTGCTAATTGTAATAACACAAGAGGAACAACCTATAAATTGCATGTTCATTGTTCTTAAATGTTTTCTAACAAGTATTAGATTCTCTGAGATACTTATGACTTTAACATAAAGTTGAATTCCAATAACTATTCAAATAATCCAATTATGGGAAAAATATAAGTTCGGGATAGAAGAACCTACCACCATACCACCATGTGTAGCTTCTTCCTTTAAGTCAGAAATTTTTAAGTATTTTTGGACCATGAACCTTGCTAGCAGTCTGGTGAAGTGTATGGATCCTTTTCAAAATAACGTTTTTAAATAGATAATCTTAATGACAAAGAAATGCACTAAAATCATACATAGAAATACAATTATCAAAATAGTGTTTTTAAAAAGTTGATATAGTCACACGTGTTTCTTTATAACACATTGATCTAGCAGTGAATCTAATAACTAAGATATGTTCAAAGTAGTGATAATAATATTTTTATATGTATAGAACCTATAATATAATAATAACCAAATATCCGTGATTCTTATAAATGACAAAGTCATAGATACTGGACGTTTGCTACCTACATTCCTAAAAGAAGGAAATGCTACATTTTAATTAGAAGTCAATAAAAAGAAAGGTTTCTTTCTTTCTCATTCAAATCCATAAACTCTCTAAATTCTATTTATGGGCCTACTAAAGGGTAAAGAGTCAGATGAAGTAGAATTGGATAAGTTCATTTCACTTAGATAAAAGCTCTCAAGTGAAAATTATTTTGAAGGAATAGAGTAGTTCCTTTCTAGGAAACCCATGGCAATTATGAGCTAAATTTGTGGCTCACTTCTAACAAGTATACAAGAATCCTCAGTAGTTATTGTTTATATTAACCTCATCTTTGGTTCCATATTATTATTTTTTGTTGTTGCTGCTAATCCTTACCTGAGGATATTTTTTTCCATTTATATATACACACACACACACACACACAATATATATATACAAACAAACATACATATATATTTACATATATATATACACATATACATATATATGTACATGTTTACCAATAAATACATACACACACACACAATATCGAGCCCTCTCATTTATTTTGAACAATAAAGTACCATTTAGGAAAAACGAATACTAGCTTTAAGTGATAGTTTGGCTGCCTACTTACTGAGACACCACTCTTAATGAACTTGACTCCCCGCCCCCCAGGCAAAAAAGCACACAAATATAGTACAGATTTAGTAATTATATCCAGAAGTACAGCTTTACAATTGTAACTGGTAATTTTTTTTTTTTTAATAAAGGTCACATTCAAAAGCAACATCATCAGGCAACTATATCCAGTATCCTCTAGGTTTAGATTTGTTACCATCACAGACAAAAAGCATAAACTTAACCCTAAATACAGATGATAAAATAATCAGTATCTAATCATGTTTATATCATCAGACAGGAACACATCAATTTTACTTTAGATTGAGAAATGGGAAGAAAGGTTCAGCATCTTAAACTACATTTCTCTGGCATCACAGATTAAATTAGGAAATGTTTTCGATTCTATATTGTGGGAGAGATTGTGGAGAACCAGTATTTCTTCCTTAAATGTTTGATGGATTTCACCAGTGAAACCAATTGGGGTGGGTGCTTTCTGTTTTGAAAGGCTAATCATTATTCTTTAATAAATATAGAACTACTCAAATTATCCATTTCTACTTGTACCAGTTTCAGTAGATTGTGACTTTCAAGGAATTTACATTTCATCTAAGTTATCAAATTTGAGGGCACAGTAATTCCAAATATTCCCATCCATTGGAATAGTAGTAATGGCCAATTTTTCACGTCTAATATTAGTAGTTTGTGCTTCTCTGTTCCCCCTCCGCCCCCCTTGGTTAGCTTGGCCAGAAGTGTATCAATTTTATATATCTTCAAAGAACAAGAGTTTGGTCTTACCAATTTTCTCTATTGTTTTCCTATTTTCAATGTCACTAATTTCTGCTCTAATTTTGAACTCTTTTCCTCTGCTTATTTTGGAGATAATTTGCTCTTGTTTTTCTAGTTTTCTAAGGCAGAAGTTTTTATTTCTTTTCTAATGCAGCAGTCCCCACTTCTCCATAGGGAATATGTTCCAAGATGCCCAGTAGATGCCTGAAACCATGTATAGTACACAACCTTATATACATTTGAAGCACCTTTTCTTCTATAACTTAACTTGAACTTCTCAAAAAAAGGATACCAGTATTAAACCTTTTGATACCTCTATTAGAGTACTTATCATACACACACAAACAATGTTTTTCTTATACATAAATACCATTTTTTATAAACTGAAGCGTTTCATGGCTTCTGTTTGGCAGATGGGGGCCGTTAAGTAAAATAAGGGTTACCTGAACACAAGTACTGTAATGGAATGGCAGCTGATCTTAACCATGAGAGTTAATAAATATATATAGCAAGTGTATTCAGAATGGAGAGGATAGATAAAAGGATGATTCATATACTGGGCAGGACAAAGTGAGATTTTATCATGCTACTCACGATAAATTGCTACGCTTCCAAATTGTGTATTTCTGAAGTTTTCCATTTAATATTTTCAGACCTAAGGTAATGGAAACCGAAGGTAAGGAGGATCTACAATAGATACAATCAGTGCTATAAATTTCCCTCTAAAAATTGCTTTTACCACATCCCATAAATTTTGATAAGATACATTTTCATTTTCATTTAGTGCAAAATATTTTCAAATTTCTTTTGAATAATAACTGACACCACAGTAATACAAAATATTGTTAACAAATATTATGAACAATTATACGGCAACAAACTTGACAATCTAAGCGATATGGACAAATTTCTAAAAACACATAGTCTTCCAAAACTGAACTGGGAAGACACAGAAAACTTGAACAGACAAATAACAACAGAAGAAATTGAAGATGTAATCAAAATTCTCCCAGCAAACAAAAGCCCAGGCCCGGATGGCTTCAGGAGAAAATTTTACTGAAAATTTAAAGAAGAACCAATACCCATCCTCCTCAAACTATTTCAAAAAATTCAAGAAGAAGGAAGACTTCCAAACTCGTTTTATGAGGCCAGCGTAATTCTAATTCCAAAACCGGATAAACACACTAAAACAAAAGAAAACTACAGGCCAATATACCTGATGAACAAAGATGCCAAAATCCTGAACAAAACACCAGCAAATCGAATCCAGCAATACATCAAACAAATTATTCACCATGATCAAGTGGGATTCATCCCAAGGATGCAAGGCTGGTACAATATTTGCAAATAAATAAATGTGATACACCACATAAACAAAAGGAAAGATAAAAACCATATGATTATATCAATAGATGCTGAAAAAGCATTTGATAAAATCCAGCATTCATTTCTGATAAAAACGCTCAGCAATCTGGGAATAGAGAGATCATATCT